GCGGGTGGCTATAATAATATACTATAAGAGTCGATGTTCTCCCGACTGGAAACATCCACCACCGTTTAAAAATTATTCCACACGTAGCAATTTTATTTTCTCCACTCCAACGAGTGTCTAGCACAGAGTCGAGTCGCCCGGTCGTCTTTGCACTCGGGCAATCCGAATTTTAAACAGCTACACTTACCGTTCCGACATGGGATTGGTGAAATCAGCGCGTGTGTGCATTTCAAAAGCCCCCAGTTAACCGTCTCGTCGCTGGCGTCGGAGAAAAAACCATTTGTATTCGAATCAATCTTTTCTCATGCGCCGAAACGTTTTTGCGGTGACAAGGTTTTTGTCTCGTGCATTGCGAAACGCCGACACACGAGGGACGTGCCAGCGGCGCGGTATTGGACTTAACGAAAAACAATACATTAAATCGGCTTTATACATGCGATAGCATTTGTAATTTTATTTAGATTTTAAGTCTCCGCCATAGTGGAATATATATATATATATATATATACATAAACTATGGTAACGTTCATAACTAATTTTATTCCCATTATGACATTTGTATTTTTTTTTTTTATTAACTGAAGAGTTAAGTACATATTATTATAAACGCAACGTGTCAAGCTTGGACACACACGCATACATACAAATTAGATATTATTATTATTATATATATATAGGTATTCAAAGAGATATACATTCAAATAATATTGGCAAATTTAAAAGAAAGGGTTCTGAAACTTTAAGGAGAACCTTCTGAAATGTATAGATTTTTTTTTGTAATTAAGAAAGGAACATCGCTGAAAAACTTAAGTTCCTTTAGGTCCGACAATTATTATTATAAAAATCATAATATTTGTTAACAGAGTGAAAAGAGCGTGACCTAATTCCACTATTGACCTAAAACAATATTATGGTTAAGTTAAACGACTGTTATGAGTGTTGAGATATTTTGAAGTACGAAAATAATTTATGTAAATAAAAGCTTCTACGCTTTGTATTGTTTCAGAACTCCCCTTTCTCGGGAAATAATATTTATAATATGCGTAGGATGAGATTTGTCGCTTTTTAGACTTACTTTTCAATAATATAATGTTATTTTAATGGAAATCTCGTCTGTAACCACGTCAGTTCACGGTAGAGCTTTGCGGCGGACGAGTAAAACGTGGGCGCTCGCTTAAGCTTGTGTCTAACTGTCAAACGCGTTATCCTAAAGGTGCCGCGACAGTTACTTTTGTCGTAGACACCTTTCAAGGAGTTTACTTCTCGTTCCCAGACCTGAGTGCCGGCGCGCACGTCAAATGTAGGGTTCTAACGACTGGTCTCGTCCTTGAAAGATGGTGTGTACTGTGTATATAATAGTAATAGTAATTTAATGAAGTCGGCCAAATGACTGTACACGGATAAGGCGTGTAATGAATTGAGGGCTAGTCGATTTAGACGGCGGTACCATTATCGTGGACTCTTGAGTGTCACAGTGACGTTTGGGCGAGAAATGTTGATAAGGTAGTCCTTACAGTTCTAACCGGATTATATGTGTATATATATATATACAATAATACCATTCCAAAGGGATGGCGGAGAAACAGAGATGTCTAGAGATCGATTCACGCATCACTAGCTGTTGCTCGGCTAATTATTATTACCCCCAATCAAAAGTAACAGCAGCAGCGCCGCCGCCGCGCCGTTCCCGTCCGACGCGCTTGTATTATTAAACACTGTCTATCGGTTTATTTGTCGGATACGCGGTCGGTGTTGCTTCAAGAAACCCGAGTCGGCAACTTCCGTGTAAATATAATTATTACATAATATAATTTAATCTCACTATCGAAGCGCCCTTTGTACGATGATAATATTCGTTATTGTGCACATACAAAGCAAAGGCATATGAGCACAACGTCTATGACTATCAGCGTTGGATACACCTGAGACAAAACAGCAGATCGTTGATTGCATACATTGTGCAGATCGACAAGTTTGAAATTGTTATTATTTGCCTTTGGATTTATGACTGTCGACGTTGTGCCTAGTAGTTTTTTTCCTTCTCGTGTTTGATATAGTGTACAACAGTATAGATGTATAATTATATGCGTAAGCACATCCTTTAGGCATAACTCAATTAATATGGAAAATCATTCCGGTTAAGCGTGCATGGTTTGATTTGCAATAAACGAATAAACTTTTTACTTCGACCTCGTATAATATATACTGTCATAGCAGACAAACAAAATGTCCATTGTAAATATTGTCATATTGACAAAGCTTGCATAGGGAAATGCACCCTTTTAATGAAGAGATGCGCGATTAAAAAAAAGTATGATCATAATAAAAACAAATTTATTTTTTCGAGTATTTATAATATTTTTACTTTTCGAAGTCGGTTCCAAATTTATATACTAATAAATATATTTATCGATGCCTTGAAAATTATAATTTTAAATATAAACCTAAAATGTAGTATAATTATTCATTTTTAGAACTATGTACACTTCGTTACATTTTTAATTATTTAAGTCGATATGTGTTGTTTTATAAAAGTAAAACAAAATCATAAATATGAGTTGTCAGACCGTTGTGAAAAGAATGAGTTTACTAACTGTAAGTTCAACATATTTGTAGTGTAACTACACGCTATATATCATAAACATCTATATTCTATAGCCTATGAAATTATGAATAGTTTGAAATAAACTATTGTTTGCATAACACTCTACTATCTCGTATTTATATTAATTTTATTTTTTATTATTGATATTATCATAATAATGTTTTTTTCCCTTTGGGTTTGTTTCATCAAAATTGTTATTACATATTCAGTAATTGTAGATATGTTATAACTATTGGTTGAAATATCATTAAAAAAATGGTTTGGTTGTATTCACTATTTATACTTTGACACTATAAAACGCCAACAAATTTGATAATGTGAACAATTATCAACATTAAAAATAATAGTTTACCAATTGTTTTTGATCGAATAATTTTAGTAGACATATTTAATTTGCATCAAGTAAATTAACTACATCGTTTACTGGGTGCTTATAGAAATATAATAAAAAAGTATGAATTATAAAATCCGCCTTTGCACTGCGAACAAGTTTATTAGTTGTGTTTATGTAAATCTTGCTAAGTTATTTATTTATTTAAAATGCAAATTACTTTTTATCGATTATAAGGATCTAGAGACAAAGAATTTTTTTAATAATGTACAAAATGAAAGGTTTGGGGTCAGCTATAATCATGTTTTCCTAGCCTACGCTTAACCTTTGCTTGATTACATGATAAGTAACATTATACTTTTTTTATGACTTTTATTGTTAGTAAAAAAAAAATAGTTCGGTAATTACTAATGACATCAAGCTTATACATATATCTCCTTTTCTTAATGATTTTTATTTGCAATTAAGTCGTTCTTCAAAATTAACCTAATTTAACTGTTCGCTATTGATTATACGTTTATTTTAATTATAATCTATTCGGAAAGATTTTATACTGAGTTTTTATATAAATGTAGCGCCGAAGAAACAAACGTATTTTGTTTACCTCAACCGCCTTTTCAAAATTGATTTATTGTTACTTTTAAATCAAATTTTATTTTTCACTATCTATTTTTAATAATGTGAGATACACATATTTAAAAATACAGTTCAGTTAAAAACAAAACTGTGTCTTAATTATTTATTGCATGTTTAAAATTTTACTTCTTCCTTTTGTTTTAATATATATATATCGTGTTTCTTAACTTTATTTATCTTGATAACCATTAACAACAATTACAAAAGAAATAAGAGGAGTTAATCGTAGTTTAAGCATTGTCAAATTATTTAATGTAAAATCGTATTTGAAAGTCATCGGAAAGATTTATATTTCACAATTTCTCGCGAAATGTACTAAAAAATAAACAACGTGTGACAATAAGATACGTTCCAATGCAAGTTTTCACGAGTATTGTCAACAAATTTCAGGTTAAGTTAAGTCTAAGTACGTTAGAGTGGCGTGCTTCTTCAAAATCTTCTTATGGCTCGGAAAAGTAAGACGAATGCAAGCAAAGGAAATCAACAAGAGTAGTATATTTGCGAGTATATAATATATTATGCTGAGCTGATTTTATTGTTATGATAGTAAATAAATCTTCAAGGAATTCTCAGAGTCAAAAAGTTTTGTATTAAAGGAAAATAACAAATAATCAACAACGGTACCTTTAAAGTATTTATACAAATTCAAATGCAATGAATGAGTTTTAATGAACATTTTTTTAAATAATATATCTTATACATTTTTGGCTCAATAAAAAACCTTTTCGATACAATTTCTGGTATATAGAATTGCTACATCATCATAAAAACAATACCTTTGGAGCCACTCATCGAAGGACGAAGCTAAATAATTCAATTCAGAACAATTATTCTAAATAAACAGATTTATGGCAATTTTTTAAAACTTTTTTAAATTCTTATTTTTTTATTACAAGTTCATAAGAACATAATGGGGGTCACCTTACAGTATTACTTTCCCTGTGTTCCCGGCACCGTTTATTGATGACAAGACTAGGATACAATATTATACAATTTAAATACAAAAAAGAGCGGACTCTATTCCACTACTCTTTGGCCTTCGGCCCACATTAAACTGTTAAATACTATACTATTTGCCTATCTGCTCGGTTCCGCATCGGCCGCCGAGCATAATTTTTTTTATACTAGTAGCTATATTGTAGAATATAAACTATAAATTATTAACTAATTACAATTTTTTTTTTTAAGTCATAGAGAGGTACATGTTCATTAGTATGTATATGTAAACAAATATATAAAGCGAACTGCCTTTTACAAAGGTTGCCATAAAACAAAGCATACAATTCAGTACCTTGTAAACAGTAACAGCGATAATAATGATTACAGTGAAAATCATTATAAAAATTATTTAATAATGTAGTATAATTAATTAATGTTTTTGAACCATACGTTAAATCAATTAGTTGAATGTTTTTTTTTTAATTTCAGGTGATTGGAGTGCCTTTTCAGGGAGCTATTTGAAAGTTAATTTTGTGAAAGGTAAGTTTGTTTTACTTTTTTTAAATAACTTTTTTTAATTTAAGTATTTTAAGTCATATAAACTATGCGTGGTTTATATAAACTTTATATACAAAAAACTACATAATATATCGTATTCAATTTATCTAATGTACAAATAAGAATTATTTACGAAGTATAGCTAAATTACGTTATGCATATACGTTACGCGTTAGTGTTAAATTTAATTACATTGTTTATTTATAATGCGTTGAAACAGTTTCGTGAAAGCCGAGAATATATTTTTAAGTCTAATACATAAAAACGCTCTTTTCACATGGTATTGATGCTCCATTGAATAACTCAAGCGTGTGTGTATGTGGTGTTGTATGAATAATGCATTCAATTTAAACGCAAGGAATTATTCATATAAACAATAATATGATTTAAACTCTTATGTGTATCAAGAATCAACCGTTGTTTCACAATACGAGTATATATAATATATTTTAGAAATTATCATTAACCTTGTCGAAAATAAAAATTGTATTACACATGTATAAATTATGTGGGCTAATGAACTCATAGAAGCATTAATTTACCATGTTTGAAGGTGTATTTTCTAAGTATAAACTCAATTAAAGGTTATTTAGATTGTTGAGCGCGTTTATTCATCCATAAAGTTTAGAGTTATAGTATCTATATGTGGTGTGTGTACACTGTGTATAGAAATACGCATTTAGTTTGCTTATTGACGGTACCAAGATGACGGGTCAAACTATTTGGTCAAAGTGTAGATCCATTTATGTGTGCTTACTGCTCATGAAATGTAAATCAATCACAGACAACGCGTGCCTCTAGAAACTCGAGCACTCTTCACGGGTCTTGTCTTTTTGCCTTTGCCAGGAGCACTTTAACATTCGAAATGGACAGTAAACGAAGGTTTACTTCAAAACTTTGGACAAGCCAGTGTTTATTTATACGTCCGTCCTCAACTAATATGAATGGAGTTTTTGTTTCGCTCGCAACGGCCGGGCCCGGTCTATCTTAGGTCGTTTAAGTAGAATTGATACGCACCATAAAAAACAATGGGAACATAATATTATAGAATGGCGTGACGGCAAATATTTATATTATATACCTTAATGTGTATAAACTGGCCTTACAAACACAACCAACCGGCTATTAGGGATAACTGGCAGGCGACGGATTTAGAGGAAAATAAACGCAAAAGAAGCTTCTGTTAGGCTTGTCGATCGCTTTCAAAGTCATTACCGGCCGGTCGCTCGACCATCAGTTCACTTGTCAGCTACCTTCGTATCTTCAAGCTCACCCTATGTTTTATGTACTCACTCGTGTATATATATATGTAGGAACATTTATCTTAGCATCGCAGCTGTGAACATTATGAGCATACTACTATATATATATATATCATATATATATATTTAAAAGATCGTAGGATGCCATTAAATGTAATTACATTTTGTTCGATTTATGTACCATCATTTAAACAATTATTGTCACTATAATATAGTAGCTTATATTAAAAACGGTTGTAAAAGATCGGACAGTGTCATTAATATGTTCAGACTTTCCATTAATAAAGACAAAAAACCCAAACGTTTCCGAATAGGTATAGTGCTATACACTGTTATGCTTTTATCGTTTATTAATTCTATTATTTTTAAGCACATATTTAATCTATTATATCTACTTTTATTATGATTTTCTTGCTGGAACTAGAAGTTTCCAATATAATAGATTTGCTTGTTTAATAATTTTAATTTTAATTTTGACTGATTAAATATTAGTATACTCGAGGTTTTAGAACTATTTTCGGGTTTATTATGTGCTATAAGCGTTGTTTAAATGTAGACGAGAGCTGAGAGGTGGTCGATACGTTTTGTAGCAATTAAAGTGCAGTTGTATATAAAATACATAATATAAAATTCGCTGGTCTGATAAATTAGCCCATTAGCCGAAGCCCTAGAGTCTACATCAAAAGGAAGGAACAACACTTATAACAATCGCCTGAGGTGAACGCAAATATGTCGAACACTAAATACTAATGTTTTTGGTTTTTTTTCCTTATATATTAAGTGCCGAACCAAAGAAAACCAACATCCTTTTTTTCGGTTTTCATTGTTTTTTTTTTCAAAAGCTTTCATAGAAAACCGTTTGTGAAAAAATAAATCATCAAGCCAATCATTTCGAGTGGAACGATCCAAGAGACACCGGTAAAAGTGGCAAACGGTGTAAGGTACCCTCGTGTGCCGCATAATTATAATGGAATATTACCGCGAGTTTTACCCGTTGGACCGTTGTTGTTTTATATTATATACGTATATATTTTTTATGATCTCAGATGGGTTAGAACAACAATGACACGTCACATTAGATGATGAATTTCATATGTTTTCCATGCAAGCTGACGTTTTAATGGAATCGCCACGTGCTATAACGACTATGCGGTGGCACAAAGTAATGGCAACGGTATCACATCACCGTTGGATTTTCTCGGCATGTCATCGTCCCCATAAAACACACCAAACATTTTTTTTTCCTTTACGCCGTTTTCGCGTTGTAGTCAAAGTCATAATTCTCTGCTCGCCATGCCGTCGTAACAATAATAATAATAACATAAAAATACACTATTCTCGTGTGGATGGCGTTTGCCGTTTCCACTTCGCGAAATCATTATGGAGGTGCTCGTTTAGGTATAGGCTTTTTAATACCTACACAATATGACTGGCAGATAAGCCGCTTAACTCGTTGTCACCATAGTTTTTCAACGCTCCCTCCTCTTCGCCCACAAATGTATATAGAGTGAATGTCATCTGCGTAAATCAAAGTTCTTAAAATATTATGCTAATATAGCTGACGTCTGTTGGAATTGCGTTGTCTTCGTTAAAACGTATTATATCCATTTGGCAACCTTTATATCCGCATCCGACGCTAAGTCCCTCGACGGGGCATAATATTGCATTTTCACCTTCTTTGACGTTCACGAAAAGAGTTATTAAGAAGAAAAAAAACAAATGCGAAATTATTATGATATAGACTTTATACACACTGTATATTACAGTATGTATAATTTATATTAAACAAATATTATAACACAGAAATATTTTAATGTCGGTTGAAAATTTTAAATAAATGTTTATTAGTCTAATGCACTTGGCGTTTTATCAATATTGTGTACTGTAAGTCAATCGATCATATAATAATTTATAATAAATACAAGTTATTAGAATATACTCAAAGTAGTAAAAGAATGTGTTTATGAAACAAGGTACAGGTATACTTAAAACACAGAAGCCGATAAAAAAATATGTAATAACCATACGAAGCATATTTTAACTAAGATAAATTAAAGGACTGTATATATCCAATCAGTATCGGGTTAGGTGTTCGAACTACGGCTAATAAATTATGTCTTTATAATTATTGTTGTATTGTGTAATGGCTATACGGTTCAAATATAATTTTAACGAACAGTTTAACAGAACGTTTTATTTTCCTCCGGGTTTTATATGTCTCAAAGCATAAAGATTAAAGCCTACATTTGAGTTGTTGAATGTACCACTAATGGCCTATGAAATCCTACCAATAATGTGTTTCAGTTTCGAAGGATAGTCTTTAAAGTCGTTCAAGATGATATTCAATGTACAAAGGCGATTTTTGCTACAAGGACACAAAATATAGTTTAACCGCCAAATAGTTTTCCCTAACATTTCTGACTTTTCACACTTGAGATACTGTGTTTTTAATGTACTTGCACATTTAATAGTTGTGCTATGGACAAATGCTATAAATATTCGATATTTTTTTTTAAATGTTTCAAACTATGTTATTCAATATTGCTAATATAATTGGCAATTGTATGTTATATTTTTCAATTTAATGCATCAGAAATTGGGTTAAAGAATAGTATCTGGAACATCACCTGACACAAAAGAGCTGTTGAGTTTTTAGGGGAAAAAAACTTTTAATTGTATTCTGTAATGATCAACAACCTGATCTTTTATACAACCTTATTATAAATGGTTTTTTTTGGAAAATGTGAGTACTTATTACAGTAGTAGTATGTGAGTATAAAATTTGTGTAATATACCGTTAAGAGAGAATAATATGTTTACAATTATTTTCTGGTGTAATATGTATTTGGAGGGAGCTAATGTGAAAAACAGTTCCCCATTCCTGGCCGAATAATAAAAAAACTATTACTAGCTCGATAACTGATTAGTGGTTAAGTCAAATTCTTTCATCTTGACTGAATGAATCTTTATCGACTCAAATGTTTTTTTTAAATCTTAATCACAAACAAAAGTAACTTTGATTATAGTTCGCACTTACTAAATTTCGGAAAGGATACATTGTTTGTGACTAACATAGTATGACAGATCAGCTGTGGGGTTTTTGAAACTACAATCTGTAAGTTTTGTACCGCATATGGGTTACGTTATTGTATTTGTATGTTTATTAATTAGTTGGAGTATTCGTTGTGTGTGCTCACGTTCATTATACTTTGTTGTCGACAACCATACACACACGTGCCTGCCGTACTATTACAAACAGTTTCCTTAAGATCGTGCTTTCAGTTTGCACGGCAAGGTTAGAACTTATGATTAGTTACAAAACGCGTACGTATATATTGTTACACAGACACTGTCGCATGCTTGAACGTTTTACTTGGCGACGCTTATTTAATAACTTTCTACTTGTCAATATGTTATTATTTTTGCCGATAGGTATGCCCTGTGTTGTCAATAGGTATTCACTGTTAGGCTATGCATATTATTTTAAGTGGATTGATGTACGCCATCGCGCCCTTGTGCTTTGCCAAGCGGACAAGATATTTAATTTGCCCGTGTTTGGTTAAATTGGAGTATTATAATAATCCTCTATTCCGGTAGTCGGCTCTTACCTTATTCTATAATCGTTTCATCCCTTCGGCAAAGGTTGTTGCCGCCGCGAAAACATAGAATACATGCGGTATAACACTACTATACACATTAAAGTAGTATGTAAGAAGAGTA